CTGTAATATATGCACTTTCACTAGCTACTGCTATTTTTCTGCTTTTGCATAACACATCCATTTGGCATGATTTTATGGTAAGCATTATTTAGCAAGATATCTTAGCTAGTTATCTGAATCAAACACTGCACATCACAAAATTATGTCTTTCTATTAGTCGATGATTTCGCTTTTGTGATACTTATTTGGATCAGTTTTGCCATGTTTGAACTGTTAAAAAGGATTCATCTCTTGTTTGCAAAGATTTTCACGATTTTATTTCAACATTGTATGAGGTTTGATTAGGCTTTTAACCGTTATCTCATCGAACATCATAACAAAAATCAGGTACATTACATCCTTATTCATCCAGATGAAACTCTTAACATTATACATACAGATGAATCTCAACTCTATATTCCAACTTCAGTTGAATGGGAAATTCGGGTCCAACCCGAACAACTCGGCTCGAAACTCCATACTTCCGATTGGCGAGTTAGTCGTGGAAGCACTTGTCGACACGATCTCGGAAAAACTCGATTCTGTTACCAATTCCTTATTTTGATAATCATAATAATCTCCCCCAAAGCCTTGCACAGCTTGACAAGTCGACACAGGTGAAAAGTAACTGGGCCCCAAATAATCTTCTCCAATTAGAAAGCCTACGGATAAATCGTAACTTCCCTCGTATTTGTTATTATCTATGTTGTCCAAATTGTCCGTAGCCACTCGGAGATTAGCTTTGAAGTTCGAAAGCATTTGGTTGTTCTGTTCTAATTCTTGCAGGTGGTTTTGTGAGGTGTGTTGTTGTGTTTGGTTGAGCAAGGACTGATTGCACGTGTGGGCCCCTTTGTACGTGATTTCAAACATGTTCGGATCGTTGTCTGACCGTTGGACTTGCTTTGCGGCCCAACAGTTTTGTGCGTGCCGATAAGTGCACCTATAGTAACTCCTGTGGGGGGTTTTGCATGGAATAATAATTTTTCGTTAGGTTTTTGCAAGTTTTGGGCTAATTGCCAAACTCTAATATATAGGAAATGACTACAGTCTTGTCACGGAATGATTCTGTTTTAATCATGGATTATCTACTCTGCACTAATCTACATGTGTATCTAAAGGCTAATAATAATCATTCTATGACGTGACTATAGAAAAAAAACAAAACCGAAACCGAAAGAGAGAGAAATTATAGAAACCTGGGATATTTAGCTCCTAAAATGTCCTTCTGCCCATACTTTCTCCAACCGAACCCATCGTCACTTGGCCCGTCAAGCCCGGTCACAGAGTCGATCCTCACTTGCTCTGTCCACGTAGGCTGAAGTTTTCTGCCACGTCACCAATCAAGAAACAAAAT